ATAAAATTTAGACTTAAATATGTTTATAATCTTTTAAATATGAATTAAATTTATTTTTTAACACTTAAAATTAAAATTAAATTTTTTAGTCTCTACAATTGAAAACAAAGACATTTCATTGTATATGCTTAAATGCCGTTAGTAAAATATGTCAAATAAAATTTATTATTATTGAATTTGTTAGATGAAACTCATCTAGTAGTATCTTTATTAGTAAAAATATATATTAACTAAATTTATTATTATAATGATATTATTATCAAGGGTCTTTCAGGCAAACAAATTTTTTTTGAAATTAGATCAATTTTAAATTTAAGAGATAAAAAGTATATTTACTCCAAATTAAGAGAAAAACATTTTAGGTCTTGAGGCATTAACCTGCCTTACTCATAACATTCCTCTCTATTTTGGTTAATTTTAAAAGCTTGTATGTAATAATAATATTTTTTGTTAAAGCTTCTTTGTAATGTTAAAATTGCATAAAATGCATTTACTCAATTAACTAGGTGAAAACCAATTGTTTTGTTAGGTTAATGGTGTGTTTGGATGAGGAATTTTACAAATTTAAGAAATTTTAAATTTTTATATTTAAATTACTTTGATGTCAATTTTTATCATTCTTAAAATATTTTGTTTTGATAAGTCAATTCAAATTTCTTAAAATTTAAATTATTAAGTTGGATATAATAATTTGATTCTACCATGATAAAATTGATTTTAAAAATATATTTATATGTTGAGATTTTTGAATTAAATTTTATAAAAATAAACATTAGCTAATTTTTAAATATTTAATAATTTTAAAATTTATTAGATAATATTTAATAATTTTAAAAATATTTTTGAATATTCAATAATTAAAAACATGAAAATATAAGAGATAAGAGAAAATATATAAGTGAAATAAGAAGAAAAAAATGAGAAATTTCAAATTCTTACTTTTTTTTGGAAGAATTTCAAATTCTATTATTTTAAGGAATTTTATAAATGCTTGAATTTCAAATTCCTTATAAATTCTCCATCCAAACAAGTTATTTCACTTCAAAGAATTTGAAATTCTTCAAATAAATAATTCACTCCATTTAAATTCATAATCCAAATACACTAATTTTTTTTTTTATATAGTTATTTTCTACTACAGTGGTGGATGGGTGTAAGTAACTTATAACTTGGGTAGAATTTTATTGCATACACCTACGCCGTCAATACCATAACACTTTTACTGCGTCCTTTGCCTCACTTAAGGAGTGTATTATTTCAGTGTCTGTACCGATACAAATTTCATTGATCATTGGTTCTGTTTGTGTACCTTGTCGTGCATATGATTATTGGATTTGGAGGGTATTTATTAAAAGGATTCATGTTTCATATGTTTCTTCTCAATGAATTCACCCTTATATTCAATTGAATGGATTTGGCATATGTTGAAATTGCAAGGAAACAAATGGTGGTATTATGGGGGTATATATATTATATGGTGCATTATTTATAACTGAAAGAAGAAAAAAAATACATTGTAACTGCTTCATATTTTGAAATTTTAAAGTACTGAAAGTTTAAATAAACTAGTACCATATTTTAGTTATGTGAGTAATTATATTGTATCCAAGAGGAAGAGAATAGGCTTGATTTAGAAGTAAAATAAGATTTGGTAATGTTAGAAGTGATCATGATGATATTTGTAACGAAAATTATGATAGGATAGCTGGCCCCAAGATTTAACGCGACTGCATACAATAGGCGGGATTTAAATCCCTGACCTTACTTAAGCGTGGATCAACCCCTACCACTGAACTATACACTTCGGGTTTGTCTATTTTAGTTTAAAAATTATTAATTATTTTTATTTTTCATCAAAAGAAGTTTTCTCATTTAAAATGTTTTGTGACACCCTTACTACCCCAACACATATATTGTAATAATAAAACTAACGAATAAATTTCTCAACGTTGGTAAAAGGATTCACATAAAAACCTTCACAAATGTTCTTTAATATCCAAAATGATTGAAATTAAAAATTAGAGAATAAAACATAAGAGTTTACAAATTGTTTTCAAAATAATAAATACAATTCCAAATCTATATAAAATTTCATGTCCTAGAAATCCTCTGCCTCGATGTCACAATATCAGAGCATACCCATAATTCAACGGTTGGCATTCTAGATGCCACTCAAAGTCGGATCTTCCTCACCTAAAACATCCACAAACTATATGGTGAGAAAAGAAAACATTTATATATAGAGCACACAAGGAAATCCACAACATCATCTCATCATAACTTGAAATGTTATTTACAAGCATTTCTATAGATATATCATCATTCTATCAATCATGCATCATGTTCACATCACAATTCATAATCAAACCAGTCTATCACAAATCTTGCAATTAACAGTATGTCAATGGTCACGCCACCTCAAGGTCGTGCCACTCTAGACATAAGTGATACGTATTAATTGCCTCACTCATCCCACACTATGCCAGGGGCACGCCATCCCTGTAGCATCACTTACCTAGGGTCGTCTCATCCCTGGTCATATATGTGAGGAACCACAATCATATCACAATCACAATCATCACAAATCTTACTATGTCAAGGTCACGCAACCCTTCAGCCTAGGGTCGTGCTCACTCTTGACATAACATTGTGCCAAGGTCACGCTACCCTTTTAGCAGCCTAGGGCCGTGCTCACCCCTGGCATAATATTGTACCAAGGTCACACTACCCTTTTAACAGTCTAGGGCCGTGCTCACCCCTGGTCATTAGTATGAGGATCTACAATCACATCTCATTCACATTTCACACATCTCATTTCATAACTCAAATTCCATATTACATATAGATAAGTTCACACAATACAATGATTCACATACCCATCAAGCAATTCACATGAATACACATCTATAAGAATAATATAACAATAATATTTATAAATTAATATAAAACCCAATTAATTCACCAATTTAATACAATATTAAATCAAATAGTAAAACTCCCAATTTTTTAAAGAACAGGCACTTTTCTACAATTTCGTTATCTTTACTAGATCATCATTCTTACAAATTAAATATATATTTTTAATTCTCAACACATACAGAATCTAATGAGATCATCAATTCCTCAAACATAAATAATTATAAAATTATCTAAGGGACTCTTTCTCTACCCAATCCCCTCATGTAACTCTACATATAAATCTCCCATTTTCCCCCGTACCTGGATAAACAGTAGCTGAAACTAAAATAGAGATCTCCTTGGTCTCCTCCTCTAAGTGCCCCTCGGTCTTCAGAGAATGTAGAAGGAAAAGAAGAGAATGTAGAAGAAAGGTGTCAGAACTGAAAGAAGTCAGAACTGAAAGGTGTGCTTTTTGGGAGAGCTCTCTATTTATAGGCATCAATTTCACTGGAACGACCCGTTTCAAATCTGGAACGGCCCGTTCTGGACTCTGATGGCATGTGTAAAATTCACATCCAAAACAACCTGTTCTCAAATCAGAACGTCCCGTTCTGGGGTTGCACTTAACCCACAATAGCCATATCTGGAACGACCCGTTCTCAATTAGGGTTATAGGCATTTTTGATGATTTGGAACGCCTCGTTCCAATTTGGGAACATTCCCATCTAAAATTTGTAGACAATTTTTATATTTTGGAACAGCCTGTTCCAGTTAGGGAACGACCCGTTGTGAACTACAAAATCATTATCGTTTTAGTAGTTTGGAACGGCCCGTTCTGGGCTACTAAATTACCCTCTTTTTAGTAGTTTGGAACGGCCTGTTCTAATTTGACAACGACACGTTCTAGACTACTAAATTACCCCTATTGAACTTTAGGACCCTCAAACAATATGTGAAAATCGGGCTGTTACATGTTTCATATATATATATATATTTGTATTTTTATTTTTATTTTGATTATAATTATTTTAAAATTACATTTAAATTGATTTTTAATTGATTAATTGAAGGTCAATAATATATATTTATTAAACTTTTAAATTAATTATTATTAGATATTTCAACATCTTCATACATTATTAATGATTTGTGAGAAGTATTTAAGCTACCGTAACCAAAGTGATAATTATATTCATTTATTATTTATAATTTGTAAGGCAATATTAAGTATTATTAGACATCTTAATATTCTTATGATATTTAACTATTAATGTCCCTTTTAAAAAATTATTAGTGCCACAAATATAAAATAAATATTTGTATATAATATATTTTATATTTACATCTTAATTCTTTATGATACAAAATTGATCTATGTATACGTCAAAAATAATTAAATTATTTGAATCAAAATATAAATAAACTTTAACTATAAGTCAATTTTATTTAATATTTTTAATAAAACATTAAGATAATAAATAAAAATATTATTTACAATAAATATAATTAAAAATATTTTCAAAGAATATAAGAAGAAATTATGTTATTTTTCTTGTATAGAATTATAATTTTACAAAGAGTAGGTAATTAACTACATAAGTGGACATTTAAAAGAAGAAAAAGAAAAGACTTAAATATGTTTTTAGTTCTTCAAATTCAAGATAAATTTGTGTTCGGTCCTTCAAATTTAAAATTATTGTTTTTAGTCTTCGTAATTTTTAAAAATCTTGTTTTAGTCTCTTAGATTATCAATAACATATTTAAAAGTGAAAAATTAAAATGATTATGCAATATTAATTGAAGTTAATGTGATATTTTTTTACTAATAGGGACACCAATATGTATATTTTATGTAATAATATTTAATAATTTTTTTAACAAAATTTGAATATAAAAATTAAAATTTTTTTTTTTTTTGAAATTACAAGAATTAAAAATAAAAATTTTAAATTTAAAAAATTAAAAATAAATTTATTCTAAATTACTAAAAATATAGTTAAACGAAAGAAAACTTCTTGTTTATTTATATTTAGTCTATAACTTGCAAATGGCAGGAAGAAAAGAATGAAGGGTAATATTGTCCTTTTATTCGGACTTTATAACCAGTAACCAATAATCGGAAGAATCAATGATGTTTCAGAGGAAGCAAAACGAAACATGATTTGCGTTTGATGAATAGCAACGATGAACGCAGTGAAGCATAGATTGTTGCATACTCTTCGCGGTAATGCGCCTACGGAGACACTGAAGAGAAAAGCGTTGGAATTGGAGAAGAAAAGGAAGACGAGGCGATCGAAGAGCAAGGACCAGTTCATCGTCCCAGTTCCCGAATCCCTCTCCTACCTCGACACCGCCACCATGCCCATGGTCGTCGCCGCCGTTGGAATCGTAGTCTTCGCCAAGCTCCTCATGATGGTACGCCACCACTCACAATTTAGATCATAAATGGCGTCATTTTAGTGATTCGTCTCATTGCATACCATGTGTTCGATGAAATGAAGCAGTGACTAATACTAAATGTGATGGGTGGCAGATTGATGAATCGAGGTCCGAAGAGTTGCTGGAGCGTAAGATAAAGAATTCCCCTGAAGGTCAAGGTAGTGTTAGAATGCTCACCCGAGAAGAGTGGGAGAAGTATCGAGAAATCAGACCTAGGACTCCATATGAGTCCAAGTTTTCTCGTCCTAATGCCAGAATAAGATCAGGAGAACCACTGAGTCCGGTAATGACGCGCACCTCACTCTATGCTTTATTTTCTTTTCACGTATCTATTTGGATAGAAGTCTAAAAGTGTTTTTAAGAATTTCTTTGTTAGAAGTAACTCTTTTATTTTCAGTAGAGACAAAAACGTTTTTAACATGTATCCTGTTAATATAAACTTTTGGAGAAGTACTTATAAGAGGATAAAATGAGAAGGCAAAATGAGTTCAGTTTATTCCATTTAAAATAAACTTATGTACTTCAACTTTTATAAAAGTGTTCTCATTTTTATTTTATTTTCTTATCAGAAAGAATTACGATGACAGCAAGAGCCCATGTGTATATTATCTTATCTTTCCACCACTTAGCATACGCAAGTGGTTCTAGTGTTCCAATTTAACTTTAAGAACCTGAATGAAAACGTGCTTTCATGAGAGGAACTAAATCTTGACTACTCAAACATAAAACTTTGGTTAAAGTTAACTTTTTTATCTCACCTATCGATGGCGGATAACGGTCTATGACGGTGAGGCCAAAAATCCTTTATAACTCTATGACGGATGCCATGGCGGCCTATGGCGGACGTCATGGCGGACAAAAAAAAAATAAAAATAAAAAAAATATATATATATATATATATATATATATTATACAAAAACAGCAAAACAATAAATAACAAGCAACAAAACTGAATTAAAACCAACATAATATCAACTTAAATACTTAAATATCATAACAACAATACCATAATTCATTTTCTCATAACATAATTGATTAAAACACAACAAAAAACATAGAAAAACAAGAGTACAGGAAGCATTTTGCTAATCTAATCATCCTCCTCCTCTTCCTCAATGTAATCATTCTCTTCATTGAATGCCAAAGGGGCATAGCCTTCAACTTCTTCATCTTCTGATTTGTCAAAGTTAATATTTGGCAATTCTTCCTCTAACTCCTCACTAATTTCTTCTGAATCTTCTTCAACAACTTCAACAACTTTTCCTTTTCCTTTCCTAGTTGAAGAAGACACTCCTTTGCCTTTTTTAGACGATGCTCCTTCCCCACTTGGAGGTTGCTTCCTTTTGTTACGCCTAGTATACATTAGAGGCTCTCCAACCCCTGAAACATCATAAACTTGATTCCAAGTAAGTGGATCATTTCCACCAAAAACCCTCTCATCTAGAGCTTCAACTTCATCATCATCATCCCCATCCATCTCTCCAACCAGCCATTCATTACATTCATCAATATCATTAAGGCTAATGGGATCAACTTCATCCTTAAGGTTGTATCTTCGCATGAGTGCTTGATTATACTTAACATAGACCAAGTCATGTAATTTTTTATGATCAAGCCTATTTCTTCTCTTAGTATGAATCTGCAACATTAAATTAAATAATTAAGTAAACATTTTAAAATATTTGGAACTAATAAGACTCTTCAAAAGCAAATTAATTACTTGCTCAAAGACGCTCCAGTTACGTTCACAACCGGATGAACTACAAGTCAAGCTCAATATCTTTATGGCTAGTTGTTGTAAATTGGGGGTTGATGAACCATAAAGTCTCCACCATTGAGCTATAAAGTCAAAAGAAAGTGTGTTAAATATGGAACAATTAGTATAATAGAAGTTTAAAACTCTTAAAGGTTTAGTTTCTAACCCGGTGAAACCTTTTTCCTCATTGCTATAGCAAGTTCAGTCCCAAACAATTCTCCTGCAACTTTATAAGTGTGTAGCTCCATCATGATTTTTTGCTCCACTTGCAAATCTCCTACCAACTTATTCATGCTTGTATAGAACCCTCTTATAATCTCACTATCAAATTCCATTTGAGGGTTGTCATAATACATCTCTGGATTCAAAAAATGGCCAGCAGCATGTAATGGGCGATGAAGCTGAACATCGCATCTTCTATCAACAATTTCAAACACGGCTTTATATTTAGTCTCATTGTTATTGAAAGACTTCATAATAGCCTCCTTTGCCTTATCCATAGCTTCATATATATATCCCATAGCTGGTTTTTTCTCCCCATCAACAAGTCTAAGTACTTTTACAAGAGGTGCCATGACTTTAAGTATGTACACTACATTCCTCCAAAAAGAAGGCATCAAAACAGTTTTACATGCTTCTCTTCCTTTTGCTTCCTTTGATAATTTGTTTGAATTCCACTCATCCGAAACAAACATCTTTCTTAAATTTGATTTTTCTTGGTGGATCCTTTCCAAAGAAAGAAAAGATGTTGCAAATCGAGTCACCGCATGTCTCACTAGCTCCCTTTTGTTTGTATAAAACCTTAACAAACTTAGGGTGCTTGAATGGCTATAAATGAAGCCAACAAGAGAAATTGCCCGTTGAATTGTTTTCTTGATATTTGGAAGCTTCCCAATATCCTCCAACATTAAATCTATGCAATGGGCTGCACATGGGGTCCAAAAAATTTTCTTCCTTTTTGCTTCCAACATCTTGCCAGCAAGAACATAATTACTCCCATTGTCCGTGATAACTTGGACAACTTTTTCCTCCCCAATATCCTCTACAATAGAGTCTAGTAATTCAAATAACTTTTCTCCGGTCTTCACAAAATTAGACCCATCAACAGATTTAATGAACATTGTCCCTACAGAAGAGTTCACCAAAAAATTAATAATGCATCTTTGCTTCTTGTCCGTCCAAGCATCTGACATGATGGAACATCCAAAACTAGCCCAATGTTCCTTTTGACTCTTCATCAATTTTTCAGTATGCTCCATCTCTTTTTGGAGAAGTGGAACTCTTATATCATGATAAGATGGAGGTCGCAAATGTGGTCCAAAAGACCCAATAGCTGCAACCATGTCATGAAAGCTCTCCAATTTGATCATATTAAAAGATAGTCCAGCTTGATACCAAAACCGGGCTATATATTGGTGGACCCTTGCTGTAGCTTCTTTGTCACAACTGTCCCTTATATTTATTTGCTTCAATTTCTCCTTGTTTTTTGCAATTGCTGTTTTCGGACGTTTACAAAAAAGGTCAATAGGCCCTTTTTTGGTAGCAACCTTCTTCCTTTCATTGATCCCATGTGTCTCAACTTCTAACTCTCTTAAATCTCCTTCCAATGCATAATCTTCACTACCAAAAGTCACATCTTCCATTATTCTTTGACATGACTCACTTTCTTTCATCTTCTTATTTTTCTCAAGTGCCCACAACTCATCTTTAACCTCTTCTGGAACACTTTGACAAGGTGCAACATTTCCCTTCTTTCCCATTAGATGTTGCTTTGCTCTTGTAATTCCTCCTTTCATGATTTTTTTACAATAATTGCACATAATTTCATTTGTATCATTGTCTTTGGTAGGATGACAATGTTTCCATCCTATATCTGTCCTCTTTAAAGAGTTTGAGGATGTTTGACTTTGAATTTGAAGATTACTAGACATTGTCCTAAAAATAAAAATAAGAACAATAATAAAAAAATAGAAATTTAAATTGAAACAATTAGTAGAAGAATTAAAAATAAAATAAAATTGATGTTGCAGATTAAAACTGCAGAGGAAAAACTAAATAAAAAAATTGATGTTGCAGTTTCTGCAGAGAATTAAAAAAATAGAAATTTAAATTGAAACAATTAGTAGAAGAATTAAAAATAAAATAAAATTGATGTTGCAGATTAAAACTGCAGAGGAAAAACTAAAAAAAAAAATAAAGGAAGGGGGATTAAAACTGCAGAGGAAAAAAAAAAAACCTTTCAGGTGTAAGTCGCCGGAGTTGCTCGTCGGAGTTGCTCGCTGGAGCGCTAGACCACCACGATTCAGGTCACCGGCCAGAAACGTGACCAAAGGGTGGTGGGCGACGGTGAACGGTGATCAAAGGAGGTCTCAAACAACCTTCTTCCTGTTCACGCACACGTTGTGGTTCAGGTTGTTGGAGTCGTGGACCACCGCGGTTCAGGTCGTCGGTGGGAGAGGTGGCCGGCGAGTGGTGGGCGTGGCGGAGGAACGTCGACGGAGACGGGTTGAAGAAGTTCGATGAGCTGCGCGAGTGTTGGTGGCTAGCGTTCATCAATGAGAACCCTAAAACCATTAGGGCATGCTTATTGGGCCTAGGCAAAGCCCAAAACTGGCCCAAACACCGTTACGTCCGCCATCACCTTCATAGCAGAAGGGCTCAAAACGGCCGTGGCGGGCGCCCCCGCGACGGCGCCATAAAACGCGATTTTTCGAATGGCGAATGGCGGAGAGGCTCGAAACCGCCCCGCCATACCGTTATAACGGTTATTCGATAACCTTGCCTCTTATTAAATTTGTTTCACATATATTCATGGGATATATCATGTGAAAGTGAAAGTTGAAATGAAATAATCTTGATCACACATGATGCACACACAACTATGATACATATGACTTGCTTAGATTGTAAAAATTTTGCCTAAAGGAAGCATTTAAATTTAGTGGCTGAAGTTTCCTCATATGCTGTCTGCAGGAGGATGTGAAGGATTGGACAACTGATGTTATCATGGATGCTTTTCACAGAGTAGAAGAGTATGGTAAACATCGTTCTAAGTAATGTAACTTGTCCTGATATTAACCTTGAATTACCCCCCCTCTTTTTTTTTTTTGCTTTTTTAAATGTAATGCTTAGATAATTTCCAGTACTGTGTTTATGTGATCTCTGTGATGAGATGGATTGGAATCATAATAACTACTACAGTTACCTACATTTTCACCTAGGAAAATTGAATGAATTTTTGGCAAACATGAATTACTGAATGGATCCTATATTAATATATCTTTGTGTAATTATGCTTTTATGTACTTTAAAACAATATAGGATAACTACTGTGGAGTGTGTACGATTATAACATCATAAACTTTAATCTAAAATAACACCTAAATTAGACCAGGCCAACATGCAATTTCTGACTTTGTACCAAAACTGATGTCATTCATAAATGCTGTATTAGTTGGTTGGTTTATATATTGACAGCATCCAAATGATAGTTTTGACTATGAAAGTAGTATGTTTTTTTATGTTCGATTTATGTTTGTCCTATTAACTACTTACTAGTTACAAGCGACAAGCATGAATACGAAGAAGCACTAAACTTTAAAACTGTCCCTAACTATGAGTTTTGAAGTGTTCTGACAGGGTTTTAGTTCCTTTTTATTACTTGTTTCCTTACTTCAAAAAGGTGATAAATGTAAGAGTCTTTTTTTTGCCTCAAATATATCATTTGAAATTCAAACTCAAATGACTGATCCATTATCCATGGTTATAGACTTGTAATAAAGTAGGGACGTCATAATAAATGGTAAACACATACAGGAGAGTTCTAGTTGTCTGAACATAATAGGTATTGTACTAAAACACAGTACCAATTCAATGTTCATCAATAGTCACAAGTTGGATTGTGTGTATTCTGGTTACATTAATAATTAGTCAACAAGGTTTTAAGTTCCCTGCGCCATGGGGAGAAAAGATTAATGTATGACTGGAGGAATGTTTTTCAAACTAATTTTGAAATGTCTTAATTTTATGAAATTAATTTCGGTTGAAATTGATTTTAAGATTAAATGATTTATGTTTGTAGAATTTTGTTTTAAAAATAAGATTGCAGTAAACTTGATATAAATTTTTTTAACCCAACACAATAGCTGTATTAGAGTTGCTTTTGCTAAAATCGTATTTGGAAATGGTTTCACATTTAAAATAGGAGCCAAACGGGAAACCAAATACGTCTTGAAAATGTAAAGCATTAGTAAACAAATTTTATTTCATTTTCTACATGACGAGCAAGGAGATTTATCAAAATGTGAGTATAAAATTCCCAAACGTAGACCATAATAAGGTTGTTGGTTATGAATTTTTTACTATTATAATATTTTTTATAAAAAAAATTCTCTAAATAAAACCTCTCAATTTATTTACTCGAATAGCACTGTTTATTGTAGCCGTTCGGAATTCGATTTCCGGAGAATTGAATTCTAAAAAATATATTTTGTATTTATAATTTTATGAAATTTAATAATTTATAAATATAATAAATTAAAATTTTAATAATTTATAATTTTA